TTAATCTTTTATTAAATTTTTTCTTCTTTCCCCATTCAAGCCGACTCCAGCCATTATTAGTCTCAAAGTGGGTTCCTCGTCATCGAATGTGTCTCTAGTGGTTAACTTTCGTCATCCTCTGGAGGAGATCATCCATTCAGTTCTTTATGGATGCTTTCCACAGGGTGGGGAGAATCTCTTGTTTTGTCATCCACCAGTCCTTCCACATACTCAGTGTGGGATTCTAGCTATTGTGTGAGAAGAGGTATCTATTGTATCGGAAGTTATCATTTTTCTTACACTGAAAATAGATATCCGATAGACACTTACCACTTCTCACACACTTCCCACCCTTCCTCCCCACTTCCAGTGTTATTCTGTTTCTTGTGGGCCTAATCTCAAAAGTGATGGTCACATCAAGTAGTATAGAGGGACCCAACTGCTCTTGGAGACGGTGTCATACTCCTATTGGTGGAGGATTGTCTCTCCCTCTATGGATACTAAATGAGCAGCTCAAACTTATGGGATATAAAGGCTAGTGTATCAGGCGAGAAAATTTATTTTCAATTCATTAGAGGGCAGTGGAAGATCGAGAAAAGCTATTGTGTGAGGATAGGTAATTGTATCAATCTGAAATTTATTTTCAGTGTAAGAAAATTATGACTTTTATGAACCAGTTACATTTGTATTTTCTTATGTCAAAATATTCTAAAATGGAGCACATTTCGGTTGTATTAGTAGCATGGAGCTCCTAAAATAAGTAAATTGGTTTCAATATTCTCATAAACACAGTAGCAAAACATTATTGTATGTTGAACTTAACTTTAACAATTAGTATATTTTTACCTTTTGTAGTCAAATAGAATAATAATAATAATAACCAGAATGACATATACAGATTTGATTACATATGTTATGAAGGTGTTAGTTATTTTATTATTCTCAACAATGCCAATATAGACCCTTTCTGAATGATCTCACAAGTTCAAATATATATATATACGATATTCCCAGAGAACTCTAAACACATATAATAGACATAGTTAACAGATTTAAAAAACATACTTTGAATTTCAAGCTGTTTGTGTAATGGAACATAAGTAATTAGTCATGAATTTATTTTTATACCCTTATTTTGTATCCCTATCTTGGACAACCTGTGATCATTGAACTGCAGATATCAAAGAGCTCCATAGTTGAAATATTATCATTTATTTATACCAAACTTGTCAAAATATTTAAGAAACTAGTTCCACACATATACTTATTGTTGTTCATTTCTTCATAACTGCCACATATTCTTATCAAAGAATGGGTGTATTTTATTGCTTCTTTATTGCACGCAGGTATGCTCTAAATGAGAAACTGACAAAAATTGGTATGGTATCTGAAATCACCATTTTTGAATCTCGGAGAAGTGACACTGGGAGCTTTGTTTGTCTTGTAACAAATGCATTTGGTCACGATGAGATTAGACTGCAACTAATTGTGCAAGGTTTGTATCATGTTCTGCAGTTAGGTTCTTTAGGTAATTATATTTATTAGTGGACACAATAAACACTATATTGTACAGGGTATGATTTAAGGCATAAAACTTATATCTAAGATTTTGTAGATTTTGAAATGAGCATGTCTAAGTTTACATTTTATACAGGATAAAAAAGTATCTGAAGTTATGACCAGTGTGAATGATTTGGTTTGGATATAATCTATAATTTAATACACTGAAGAATTTAAATTTCTAGATCGGTAATTGTAAACTATCAGGTATTAAGATTCTTTATAATTTCTTAAAATAAAATGAAAACTTTGATACTAAATAAAAAATCTAATAATTAATTTATGATAAGACCCATTACTTAGCTTAACAACAAAGCAAGTTTTTTATTTTATCCTTCAACATATGATTAACCATTTATATCAGGAAAAGGAAAATAATTATCCAATATAACGTACACTGATGTCATTAAAGTCTACTTTAAATATACATTTATTTTATCAAATAGGACTTGGAGGTTCTATAGATTATAATAGGTAAAATAAATAAATAGGACTTGGAGGTTCTATAGATTATAATAGGTAAAATAAATTATTATAATCTATAGTACCTCCAAGTCTTATTTTACCTTATATAATCTATAGAACCTCCAAGTCCTCCTCAAGAAGTTAGACTCATGGAAAGCAGGAGTAGATCGGTAACAATACAATGGAATACACCTTATGATGGAAACAACCCTCTACTTTCTTATGTTATCATGTTCAAAAATAAGTCAGGTAACTGAAAAGACATACAGTATATTAAAAGTTAGTAGTGGATACTCTTTTTTTTTTTTTTTAATACCATTTTTCTGACCCTATGAATGAGTAACATGATAATAATTATTTGACTTATTTCATTTTTAAATTAATTATGGCATTCATATTGTAGATAAGAGTAAAAATGTAGCCTATTATTTATTTATGTGTCAACTTTTTTTATAGTCAAATTTGCACTTATCAAAGATGTTTTTATTTCCTAATCTTCAAAGCAGTCTCGTTTTACTTTGAAATGTATTTTAGAAACAGAAGGAGTCTGTACTAATAAATTAGATGCCATTATGAAATAGTTTTTACAGTAATTGTTGTTATTTGTTTACATCATTATATAGAATCATGGGATGGACAAGTTTCAAATGTAACATTGAAAGCCACACAGAAGAAAGCAACAATAAGAGACTTACATCCCTCGTTTACCTACAACTTTTGTGTTTTAGCACAAAATGCTTTAGGATATAGTGAACCATCAGCGATAATCAATGTTACAACAAATGAAGAAGGTTAGTTTCAGGTTTGTTAGCAGTAGCTTAACTACAAAAGGTGCTAATAACATAAAAGTAATTGGACCCCCTACATTTATTCATCTTATTGACTATTCTTAAGTTTGTAAGGCCTTTGGGTTTCCTTTTGGCTCAGTCTCACCCCTGCAATTGCAAGGGATGTATTAGTATTCTTATACCACTGTTTGGTAGTTAAATAAGTAAATTGATAAATAAACAAAAAAGCTATTAAATATATTTAATATGAAACCAGTAATTTTCATTTTTGTTTGTTACCAAAATATTAAAATGAATATTTACAAACAACTTCAGGTTTGAGTCACCAACTCTTAAGTATGGCATCTTTAGTGTTATAACAGTGTCTGACATAGCTGTATTCAACTATATACGTAAAGGTTCTGACATACCCCCTCAAGGTTATTGTATGATGCCATGTTACCAAGCTCAAACCACACATTAATCAAAATGTAATGCCCTGCTGCATTATAATATAGAATTCCCTGGTATTGACTTTTCAAGCATATTGAGAATTTGACACAACTGATACAAACAGATAGTACTGTATTTCTCGATAGGACAATTGGCAGCTGCCTATAGCCCCATTCCTGAGATGCTTGGATGGATAAATTTTTAGAAATGTGTAGCTCCCATAGAAAAGAAAAATTAATACAAAAAAATGAAGATAATAATAGTATGCTATATTTTATATTTGAATGTTATTTGGACAACACTAGAATGCAATATCATTACTATTTGGAATTGTATATTTTAAAAAGAAAATTTATATCAAGCTTATATCTTCATGGACCCTGTCAGGTGTGCTCTCACAGACCAACCTGTTTCCTGTCTACTCTTTCCAGCTTTGTGTTAATTTTAATAATTTACTTTTACTTTTTATATGCAGGAGGTGGACTCTTGAACATTCTGTCTAGGTCCACACAAAACCTAAATATAGTCCTGCAAACAAGTATATCACGTAATCAGCCATATGAATACATCAATTTACCTTCTGTCAGATATTGTTTTAATTTATAGTTTATAACATATACAGAATTTAAAGTAGTGTACAAATTAAATTGGCCTAGCTTTTAACAGTTTATAGTCACAGTCTTCATACAGAATTATCATTCATGCTAAATTAAACCATACAACATGAGCAATAATGAACATCAATCTCTGTCAAAAAAGTAGGTAACTATTTCGATCATATGGAATCAAGTATACTAAAATTGTTTTTCATTTGTTTTCTTGCTCTTTAAGTTGCTTATAAGCTTGTAAAATATGGTTTCATTAATTACTTTTCTATTATTTTAAAAATCAAGAATACACGTAGGACTTATAAATTACTTAATTTTGATCCAAGCAAGCTATCTACATAGATTGGAATGAAAACTTAATACAGTGACATATATCTTAATATAATCATAAACACGTTAGGTGTGACAACAAGGTGTGGCTAAAAAAGGATTGAGCGTGCGACTTAAAGGAATGAAATCAAAATTGGCAGCCAAACTGGTGACTATACTCATATAAAAAATACATGGCCTAGCTAACTAATGAATGAATATTTGCTGTAAAATTCTTATCAACTGCTAAAATGACATTGCATATTTATTTGGTCAACCTTCCTGAGATGATGAGAATTTCATATGAAAATATTACTTTCTGTCATTATTTGTATTTTATCAGCTTTTATTAAAGTAAATTAACTAATTTGTATGACACATGTAAGACAACACACATCAATAAGATCTGGAATACATCTAGTATAGCTCACCATGTGCACACTGGATGTAATGTTTAGGTTTCAGTTGATGAATTTACTGTAGTTAGAAGAATTGAGGATTAGGAACAGTTATGAATTTATAAGTCTACTGAATGCAAGTTTGAAACCATCTTGAAATCAACAACATTTGGCATATACTCTCTTCTCAAACTTTGGATTGTGTATTTTTATTTCATGTTAGCTGTGTGACTCAAACATGAGTTTAGTTTCCAAATTCTGGTTTTGGTTGTAGCTTGCTCTGATGGTTACCTATAACTTTAGCTTTTACCTAAAGAGTGTTTTATTTGTATTACAGTGATTTATTTTAATGGTTCTAAACCTCCACTCTAGATCTACTAGAAGAGAGATAGAGAGTTCAATACACAAACACACAAAACTATTTATCTATGCATCTATATATTTTTTGGTAAATTATTAAGATTTCAGTTATTTTTCCTTTTTTAGTTAATAATAAATGAATGGTTAAAGTACAGAGGTGTGATAAAAACATTAATTGAAAGTTGAAAAAATACTACTTACTGTATGATTACAACTCAATTTAATTAGTATGTGTAATACTACACTTTTTAACTACTATTCCATTTTGTTGTATGAGAAAAAAGGTTACCAGTCCTTTTGCTGCTTGAATATTTGTTGTAAAGTCGTTTTGCTTGTTCAAGATCTCTTAACTTGCATATTTTCATAACATTTAGTGCCAGGTGGACCACCAACTTCAGTTACAGCAAAAGCTCTTAATGAATCATCAATTAAAATATTCTGGAAGGTAATTATTGTCCAGATTATTGCTAGAGTTCTGTTTAGCCTTGTTTCTTTTTGTCTTTGCTGTTCAGTTTGATCCACTTCTATCAAAGCTAATATGTCAAATTTCAAACCTATTTGTAGTTGAAAGTCTGTAATAATAATCTTTGGAAAAATGGGTTCATAAAATACTATTTTGAATATAAAAAATATACTGTGAAGTTTAAATTCTCCCTGTCACTAGATGGGAAATTCGATGTTAAATTTTATATTATCATTCAGTGCTTGTGTTTATCTAACTTTCTTCAGTTGGTACATATTTATATATATTATGTAGTCTTCCATATCTTCAGAAAATTGTAGGTACTACAGAAAATTTAAATAGAATTTAAAAAGAAAAACATTTTGTTCAAATTGTCTCTTCAGTGTAAAGTTAAGGTTCACAGCAGTGAAAGTGATTTTGGTTTTTCTTGCATCTAGCCTCCTCCCAGGGTTCTTCAGAATGGTAGAATTAAGGGCTATTACATAGGATATAAAGTGTACAATTCCACAGATCTCTACCACTACAAAAACCTAGAGGGAGATAGAGTGGAGTGTGTTTTGTTTAACCTACAGAAGTTTACTAGATACAGTGTTTTGGTCCAAGCTTACAACTCTATGGGAGCAGGGCCTAGATCTGATGAAGTTTTAGTGTTAACTAAAGAAGATGGTAATACTTTTTCATTTTTTAGATTAATTTTCATAGGAAAGATTACTTGTTTAGATTAACAAGATTTTTGGAACTGAAAGAATTCTGTAATGGCTTCTGTTTAATGCGTTGTGTTTCTGTCTGGTTTTCATGCATTTTCTAGATATGAGAGAAAGGCTTATGTATTAGAATTATTTTGTGGTATAAAGGAAATAATTAGGAAAAATATTAGAAGTATATCGGAAAAAGAAGGTAGATTTTTATTGATAATTAGTAGCCTGTAGTCAGTCTGATACTAACCTACTTATATATTACAACTTTTTACCTTTTTTATATATATATTTATAGATTATAGTTAACTTAGATACAGTCAGTTTCATATTGCCATCACAGAAAGCCAGTATTTCATAGTGTATCAATATTTATAGTCATTTGTTAACCTATAATCTGTTCAATATTATTCAACTTTCTCCCATATACATATATATAAAGAAATATAAACAATAGCTTGCTTCATCTCAGCAGCTGCATAGCTTGGCTTAGCTTTGGAGAGGAAGCTAGAAATCAGCCTCTTCCAAGAAAGTTAGGTAGTAGTAACATATTATGTCAGAAAACAGGTAAAAACGAGTGTCATTATAAGGACAGTTCATGTAACACTGTATGTACTTTGTATTTGAAAAACAGTGACATTATAAGGACAGTTCATGTAACACTGTATGTACTTTGTATTTGAAAAACAGTGACATTATATGGACAGTTCAAGTAACACTGTATATACTAGGTGTTTGAAAAACAGTGACATTATACGGACAGTTCAAGTAACACTGTATGAACTATGTGTTTGAAAAACAGTGACATTATATAGACAGTTCAAGTAACATTGTATGTACTTTGTGTTTGAAAAACAGTGACATTATATAGACAGTTCAAGTAACATTGTATGTACTTTGTGTTTGAAAAACAGTGACATTATATAGACAGTTCAAGTAACACTGTATGTACTTTGTGTTTGAAAAACAGTGACATTATATAGACAGTTGAAGTAACACTGTATGTAAAATGTGTTTGAAAAACAGTGACATTATATGGACAGTTCAAGTAACACTGTATGAACTATGTGTTTGAAAAACAGTGACATTATATAGACAGTTCAAGTAACACTGTATGTACTTTGTGTTTGAAAAACAGTGACATTATATGGACAGTTCAAGTAAAACTATGTTTGAAGAAAAGGAGTGATATTTATAATGAAAACATTGTCAATGTGAAAACACTTAAAGTTATATAAAGAGTCCAGCCACTTAAAGTGGAGATATCTGACATGCAAGCCCAGTTACAAGATACAATTGGGGCAATGTTAGCCCATATCAAGCAAAGAGGCTAAACAATAACTAATTAACACAGAAACATACCAGTCTTTTATTACTTGGATACACATACATGTAAATATGTCAGGATAGTGTTTGTACATTTTATAATACTGCACATGAAACACCTCAAGCTTAGAAATATATCATGAAAAACAAACACATATCCACTGGGCTCTATGGTGTAATTTATTCAACAAATGCATATTTTTTGGAAGCAATAAATTGTAAATTCTGTGGTATGTAATGTTCTATAATTAGTTATTATTTAGCCTAAATATTGATGTGATCAGTGCTTGAAGTAGGAATTCTGAAGTGGGGTATGCACATGCATAAACTGGTGATACCATTTTTTCATTGTTTGGAATTCTTAATCAAGATACACAAGAAATAGGGGTTTGCAAATAGCCAAATTAGAGAAGAGTGGGTACGAGTACCCCTGCATTACTCTCCATTTCGAGCACTGGATGTGATATATACATGTCAATAAAGATAATGAACTTATGAAATTCAATTATTTTATAAAATCTATTAACGTTATGTTTTTATTATTTCTAGCTAATAAATATTCATTTAAATAAACCTAATCTCTAGTTCCAGACAAACCTCCTGCTGGTGTTATTTGTTCTGCTTTGACTTCTTGGAGTTTGCACATAGAATGGACACCTCCATCTCTGAAGTCCATAAATGGGATTTTACAGGGATTTCATGTAACCTACAGACCAGTTTTCACAAAGAAGAGTAAGTTTAACTTACATTTTATTTAATTATTTGTGTGTTTCAATAGAAGTGAATAAAATCTATAAATTACTAATACTCGATTGTGTTATTTTAATCTGATTAATGAATTCGGTAAAAACATAGATACTTTTGAAAAAATAGTTGGTTTTTTTGTTTTATAAATACAGAGTTTAAGGGTTTTACATACTCAAATATAGTTGATTTCTTTTATAAGTATTGAGCAGTAATTTGTTGCTGAACACACCATGCATTTAATTTCAGTTATAAGTGTCATTCCTAATATTTGGTTAAGCTTAGTTGTATATTAGGTGACAGGTGCTGTTGACTGATTGCCGTCCCTTTGGTCAGCAGTTTTATATACATATATTTTATAAAACTGGATTAGTTTAGTGTTATGATGTCTTGGCTAGTGTTTTACTATTCTCAAAAAGTGTTCAGTTGTGTATAATATCTTATTTTGAAGTACTCATGTTTAAGTATCTTGTGCCAGTTTCTTTATGTCTCTTTTTTTATAACTATTAATTTTTTTACATTGATATTAGAAGGCCTTTCCTTTGACACAAATTTCTCAATATATATATGTGTGCACATGAAAAAGTTGTGTTTATAAACTGTTTTGAATTAGACCATAGGTGTTAGAACCACTGATTAATACTCAAAAACCAGTGAATGACAGTTTTTTGGCACAAGTAGGTGAAGGATCACCAAAAATGACAGTAGCGTCGTTTCGATGTGCTTTTTAATGACAGTCTATGGGTGATGAATTTATTGTTAAAGAAGTAAAGGTACTCATCTTTAGAGAACAAAAAACCACAATAAATGGAACAAGCTGTCAGAAGTCTCATAATATTGGATGTACTAATTTCAACACATTCATGTGTCCTTTTCAGACTCATGTTGTCATCTGGCAGGAAAACTGGTCAACAGTGTCTATATGACCTCAGAATTTTGAATTCCTTTAAGGACACAGGAGGTCAGGAAGTTGCTTATCTTAAAGTGACCTTTAGAGGGGTTGAAATTTTGATTAGGCAACTATCAACAGTTCTTCTTTTTATGTGATTTTGAATAAAATTCATGTTTATGTCCAGTCCATCTGATGGCCAGAATCTCTCACATAAAGAAAAATTGCATTGTTTGTGTTTCCATATTTAATGCCTTTTTATGTCACAGAATTGGCATGGCATAAAAAACATACTGTTGCGTCAGCGAGTCACGTGACTACTATGACGCAACG